TTATTTATCACAGCCTACAGGGCCCTAGGTGATGTGTCCGGTCTCTCTGCCGTCTGCTACGACTCTCTACCTGGACCCGTGTGCTTCGCTGCAGCGGCCTGGGTCTCGTCAAGTTCCGAGAGCACCTTCCCACGCCTGCGTGCCTTCTGCTTGAATGCTTGCCTCACAAGATCTTCTCATATCTCATCCCCTCATTTATTCATGTCTCTGCTCTAAGCACCTCCTCGGGCACAGTCCGTTGGCCCTCTTAAAAACAGTCACTACTCTTAATTCCAGTTCCTTTTTCTCTTAGTCTGGATTCTCCAGAAAACAGAACCTGAGGCAAAGTTTGGTGCTGACACCTCACCGAGGAGGACAACGCCGGGCAGCTGGAACAAGGAAGACAAGAGGGCAAAGACCGAACAGGTCGCGGCTTTGTACTAAGGTAGCTGAGGGCTTGGTCTCCAGGGATGACTTCAGACAGGACACAGGAAGCATGGCCTCTCAGTACAGACCACCAGGAAAGGGAGAGAATTTGTCTGCTGGGTCCCTCCAGCACCTCATCTTCCACTGGTCAAGTCCACTCCTTAGGCAGAAACCCTCCTACGCCTCTGTATTGTCACGAGTGGCTCCTCGAGGCAGCCTCTGGGGGAAGCCAGAGCCCCAGGGTCCAGTCTGACCAGTGCATAGGCATGGGGGTCTTCCTGTCGGCTAGAGCCACATGCAGGGCTTCTGGGTCTGACAGTAGTGGCAGCCACAGCAGGGGCCCCTGGCTCTAAGACTTTTGGAACAGCATGAACAGTTGATAGGCCTCTCTGGCTGGGAAGCAAGGTGAGTAGCCAAAGCTCTGGTGTGTGGTGGAGGCAGACAAGTCAGTGAGGCTGCCCAGGTTTGGGTGGCATATACACGAAGTCCAGTTCCATTGTCTAGATAAGCATCTTGCATAGTTCTCATCATCGTACTTAAGATGACCTGCCCTACTATTGCCTATTCATTTGAATGGAGCATAAATTCACAAGAAATGGAATCTCCAGAAGGTAGGTGCTCATCTCTCTCTTTTACAAAAAGAGTGTCATGTGATTTACTACTCTGCATGGATGAGTTAGAAAACAAGGTCCTGACAACAATTTGTGAGTTTGCGTTTCCCTGTTGAATAAAGGCAAGTGGCCCTCCTTTGCTCTCCTCCTGCTATGGTTTCTCTTCCACTGGCTTCCCCGTCCCCAGTAGGGTGTGGTGCTTGGTGGTTTGGAGGCCTGGCCTCCTCATCCCAATGCTTTCTGTGCACGTGGAATTCTGAGAGCAGTCAAACTTCTCTTCTTCCTGTCACCAGGGCCTTTCTCAGGCCCCTGGTACCATCAATCAAGCTCCTAGGAATTAAATGGGACTTTTGTCTCTGGAAACAATGCCATGGTGAAGGTTCTATTGTTCAGCTCCTCCACTTTCCCATCCACAATTTCCTTTCTGTCACTGCATCGCCTCATTCATCCCAACTTCTTAATTAAAATTCCTACTCTACACTACTTCTTCATTGCCTTGAAAAGATTCCCAAATCACATTGACCTCCTGAATGAATACCTTACTTATCTCCACGCTGGCTGTTTTTCTCCTAAACTGAAGTTAAAACATTGATTCTAAGTGTGATTTTAGGTTGAGAATTTTGAATTTATTGCCTATATTCGCTTAATTTCTAGACGACTAAATGAATTATTGTTTTTAAAAATCAGCATTTATATTCAACTTGGGGAACACGTTTAACCTTTTAGCTCTTTTTAGATTGGAGAAGCCCTAGCTTCTATAGATACAAGCAAAATAAAGGCATAGACATGTAGAGTTGAACATGGCCTTAGAAGTTCATTTAGTTTGACTGTTTGCCACACCACCCACCCCCACCCCCCAACCACGCCCACTTGAGAAATGAGGAAACAAGGCCCAGAAGGGGTGGGGCTCCTCCAAGCTCACCCAGCTAGAGAGGGTTAGAGATAGGAGAGGGACCCAGTCCCTGTGCCTGTGGTTCAGGGCTCTCCTAAGACTCAGGCCGCTTCTTCAATCAATTTTATGGTTTGCTATGAAAATCTACTAAGAAATTTTTTGGACAGGCAGCAGAATGTTAAATTATGCAAGACAAGAAAGACAGTTTCCCGCCTTTTCACACCTTCGCACATGACCTCCTAATCTGGCTTCTATCTGGTACTTCTGAGCACTGTCTGACCAGCCAGGGTGGACCTGACTCATAGCTGGTGACAGGAAACTTTTGGTTGAATCTGGAGGAGGTGCCCTGCTTCCCCTGTTCCCACAGCTGTAGGTCACCTCTGCTTCAATCTGAAATGATCTGAAGGAAGACTCATTATTTGGCAGCAGTTTTGATCATATAGTTGTATTTTAATAAGAATAGAAATTTTAAAAAGTTTAAAAACTGGTATTTTGGTGATTTTTAAACTTTAAAAAATTGATCTTAGAGGAAGGGAGGGAGAGAAGGGGGGGGGGAGAGAGAGAAACATTGATGTGACAGAAACTTTGATGGGTTGCCTCCCATACGTGCCTCGCCAAGGATCAAACCCGAAACCCGGGTATGCGCCGTGAGCAGGAATCAAACCCACCATTTTTTGGTGTATGGGATGATGATCCAACCAGTTGAGCCACACCAGCCAGGCGTCTTATAAATATACACGGATAACTTATGTTTGTGACTCTGAGTTCGCCTGGCTAAATCTATCACCGATAATCTAGACTGGGGTTTGGAGCAGTCATCTGAACTTATGTTTCCTTTTAGCTTTCCCATTCCAAACTCACTGAATTGTATAAAGTTTTTTCCCCCCAAAGCATCCTAGTTGGCTACTGAGAATCACTGATATGGTTTCAAGTTCTGAAGCAGGGTTTCAAGCAAATTATGGAAATTTCTGTGTGAAATCCAGCCCATTTAGATCAATTCAAAGAGGTGCCAAGGTCTACCGGCATTGACGCTGCTTCCCTGAAGGCTTGTTCAATTTCATCATTCACACTTCACCTTTTTTATTCCAAGGTGACTTTTAATTCCACTCTTATTTTATGCACACTAGTCACAATGGCTCACTTCAGATGTTAGCATCATCTCTAGGGATATCCTGTACATCTGGTTTGTAGCAGCTACATTCTCCCTCTTCTTTGGGAAGCAGAGGAAGTGTGTGGAAGTCCTGTCTCTGCTCCCTGCAGCAAACAGAGCTATTTCTGATCTTAGTCAATCTGCAGACCCTGACTTACATATGACCCCAAGTCATTAAAAACACACACACCCGAGGTCTGCCTGGGTTATGTAATAAGGCCATAAGGCTGAATCAGGGACTTTGTGTTCAGAGCTGAGAACAGAGATCTGGTTTTCCAAACAACTCACAGTATGGGAGGGGACATGAACCCAGCCTCCTGGGCACTATCTTAACCAGGACTTAAAATTACAACTCAAAGGAAAATATAACACATTTCCTAACTTCCCTGCTTCCTTTTTTATGCCCAATCTTTCTTCTCTTTTTCCCAAGATGGAAAGTGCCATCTCTTTCTTGATCTAGCTGTAGAGAATCTGGCCTCAAGCCTTGGAGGTCTGTCATGGTGGTCTTGGCAAAGAGTCATGATCAAATCTGAGAGAGCATCATCCCTTCCAAGGTCCTGGGGCACTAAGGGTGGAGTAGGCTATACCCTTCTGAGCCCAAATCATGATATCCACGCAAGAAGTCACAGCAGACCTAGAAGTCATCCAGGGCTCATCCAGCTTCTCATTTGACAGTTGGGGAAACTGATACCCCTAGCAGAGCTATGACTGGCTCAGGGTTACCAGCTGAGCAGTGGTAAAAGGAGGGCTGGATCCCAAACTATAACCTGTGTGAGGGCAGAGGTCATGCTGCCCATCCACTGCTGTCTCCCCAGAATCTAGCATAGTGCCTGATATATAGGAAGGCTCAGTAAATATCTGTGGAAGGAAAGAGCAAATGTAATACCTCCTCCACCACATCAACCTGGTAGTCTAACCCTTCTCCTGAAATTTGACTAATTTTATACTCAGAAAAGCCCCCTCTGCTCTTGCTTTAGGCCAGAAGTTATCACAGGGGTATGGACAAGACACTGCTCTCGTAAGCCAGAAAGTCACCCAGGGTGCACACAGCCAGAGCAGGAGGCAGTGCCCCAGAGAGGCTTCTGCCATTGGTCACCACCAGCCTGGCCTGGCTAGGGTCTCCCTCTAAAGTTTGAGGCCAGATTGGGACCACAGTGTGACCACTGAGGAGGCCTAGTTGTTACAAAGATGTTTTCTGGCTTATTCCTGCTTCAAGGCTGATCTCTAGGCCAATTAATAAAAGCAAAGTGATTGCTTGGTAGAATGAAGCCCAAAAAAGTGGTTGTTGAAGTCCAGAAAGGCTTGGGAGCCCCAGGCTTGAGGATGAGGTCAGGGCTGCAGAAATGTCTGGTTCTAAAGAAGAAAGGACCGTCTGGTTACAGCCAGGCCAAGCTAGGCAAACGCCACTGGGGCTGCCCCTGTACGCCCAAGATTTTGTAAGATTCTGCAATGGGAGAGGGCAGATTCGGATGAGAGAAAGAAATACAAACTTTGCTTTTTTGTAAGTTGTTGGCTCTCAGGGAGGGGGGGGTGTCATTTGCCTTTGCTTCCAGGGACAGCTCTGGGTCTGGTGTCCTGGCCCGCCCAGGCTCTACAAGCTATATGGCCGCTGATTAAGACCAGCTGCGAATCTTGAGCGCACAGCCTTGGAGAATCCAGCCCCGTGAGGAGCCTGGAGGACAGCGAGATGAGGAGGGGTGTTTTGGCAGGTGAGAGGGGGTTGTCGCCTGCCAGGCTCCCCTGAGCCAGGGGCGGGAGCTACTCCGTCCCGCGGCCGGTGCAGGGGTCGCCCTGGAGCGCCCGAGTCCTTGCGGCCCGCGTGCGCGCCCCGCTGCTCCGCGCACCTGCCGCGGGCCCCGCGCGGCTCTGAGCGGCGGGCGGGTGGGCCGCGCGCACAGGTGGCGGCGATTGGACAGGCGGGGCTGGGAGGGTGACGTCACGGGCTCCGGTCCCGGCGGCAGAAATAGGGCAGCCGCCGCGGCGGTGGCACAGCGGCAGGCAGCAGCGGCTCAGAAGCTGGAGCCTCTACAACCTCCAGGGCGCCCGGGACCCGCCAGCAGCCAGAGAGACAGACCGAAGGACGCGGAGCCGAGTCGCCCCGAGGCTCCCTCCCGCTGGAGTCCGGTCACCTGGTCTTTCCTTTGGCCCCAGCCGCTTCAGGTACGCGGGCGCGGGGAGGGTGCCAAACCGCTACGACCGACCGGTCGGGATGCGCCCCGCTGGGGTCCCGGCGCCCGCGGCTCCGGGCGCTTGCCTTGTCCTCTCAGCCCGCGCCCGGAGAGCCAAGTTCGCTCGCCTGGAGGGCGGCGGGCACAGGACCACGGAACCCGGGCTCGGCAGGGTTACCCCGGCCCGGGCCAGGACTGGGGTTAAGGCTGGGGCGCCGGGACTTGGGGCCCAGGTCTGCAGTAGGCACCGGAGTGATCTGGATGGCGCGCAGAGCGCGGCCCGCGCGGGGCTCCGAGACCCTGCAGGCGCGGTTCTTGGGCTCCGGACCCCTAGCGGCCTCGGCGAGTCAGGCGAGCCGCGGCCCTTCGGCTCGGACCCGTGCCCTTGGCCCCGGGCTGGGATGCGGGGCGGAAGTACTCCCTCCCCTTCCCTCCAGCTTTGCGGGGAAACTTGCATCTCCTCGCTGCAGCTCGAAAGGCCCGCTGAGCTCTCCTGGCCCTCACTTCGCCGGGCTCCCCGCGTGTGGGGCTGTGCGTGGGGCTCGGTGCTGGGGCTGGGGAGGAGGGACCCAGGACAGAAGCCGGCCCCGGGCAGCCTGCAGCTCGTTCTGCCGGGCTGGCTGCTGTTTCGAGCGAGCAGCCAGTGTTCCCTGCTGGGGAGTCACTGGGGAGCAGTTTGGTTTGGGGACGTCCAGGCAGGGGGCTTGGTCCTAAAAAAGCTTGTACTGTGGGTAATCTCCGCCCCTCTTTGCGCTAGCGAAGGAAACCTGTTCCAAGTTTCTGGGGACCAAGGCGATGCAGGCAGAACGCTCCGCTTTGGGCGCCTGTCGCCTTGAGTTTGGGGTGAGAGCGGCGCGAGCCTTCGGGACTCCCTTCAACTGACACAGGGGCGCTGGAGCGCGTTCGCCCGAGGCTTGCCACCTGAGGACTTCTGCACCCTCCACTCTAGCAGGGGCAGACACGCACGGGGAGCAGTGGGGTTTCTCTCAAGGCTCGGCATGTGGGGAGCATCAGTGCAGCGCGTCCGCCTGCTTGAAGTGCCTGGGGACCGACGGAGTTGAGCCCTGCTAGGTCTGGTCATCGCCCACAGAGTTGGTACCCCATGAGCTGTCCAGTCGACCTGGCTCCTGATAACTGGCGTCGACATTGATGAATAGCGCTTCCACAGTCTCTCCTCCATTCCCCTCTAGGTGTCGCTTCCGCCGAGGTTTCTGGCGAGTAAGAAACAGCACCAGTAGCGGTGGTCTGTTGTGTTCCCTTTATGAATTTGTTGCAATGCTGTGTGTGCACCAGTAACGTACTAGATGGGCCCCTGAGATAGACATTCATCCACATTTTCTGGGTCAAAGATAAATACAGTTCCAATAGGAGGTGGCACAGATTTAGTGCACCAGAAATGGGCCTATATGACAATCTGTGAAAGAGAAAGAGGGTGAGGAAGAAATTCTGACTTTTCTCAAAAGTCCCAAGTTATTTTTCTACCATCAGGCTTAGGAAAACGCCAAAGATGACTTCTAACAGTGTCCTCTTAATCCTGCAGTGGCCCGGGGCCAATTCTGGGTCTGGGCAGTAGTCAGGTGAAGGGCTCACCTGGGAAGCAAATGGTCAAGGAAATGGGTGGTGTGGCTTCAATGACGCTAGAGCCGCAGCAACCCTCATGCAGTAGCTCAAACAGAAGACTCGAGCTGATGGCCCCTAGGGCCCGTGAGGCCGGCTTTCTGTCTGAGTTTTGTAAGTGGACACTGCAGCATCACAAGACCATTTTTGTTGAGACACACTCAGCTGAATGTTTGCTTTCTTCCGTCCCAGGGGAAAAGACAGTCTCTCCCCCCCCCCCAAGACAAACCAAAAATAGTCTCCAATGTAATCTATTAAAATTCCCCATTAAAGTTGTCCCAGTGGCTCTGCTCTCTTAGGAATTTATGATCACCTCCAGTTTTTGTTAATTCCAGAAAGGCTCTTTTTGCTCCAGAGAGGGGCCAGCTTATTCTTCTGGATGCTGAGGGAACTTCTGTCCCTTTGGTTGTACCCTGGAGGTGGGTGAGGGAGAGATATGCTGGATTTTTCTACCTTGATCAATCAGTCACTCAGGATTCTTCTCCTACTAAAGGCTGCAGGATGTTTTTTAAAAATGATCTTCATGTTGTGATCTTTTGTTTGAGTTAACATTACGTTCCAGAAACTGGAATTGAATAGTCAACATTTCCTAAAAATCTGCCTTAATTTCTACTTTGCTTTTTGGGGGTATTTCTCTTCAGACTCAACCTTCTTGTGTTGCTTATATGTGGTCAGTTGTGTGCTTACTAACTTAATGAAATTAGGTACTTATTTCAAGAGCGCATCTTTCCTTACATTTTCTCTCACTGCATAACACAAGGCATGGAACTTCAAATAAAATAGAACTACAGTTGAGAGAAGATGCTACTTTAAGAGATATAGTCTGAATGTTGGAAGGGTGAGGGTTACTGGAAGGTGCGTGTGTGTGTGTGTGTGTGTGTGTGTGAAGCGTCACAGTAAATAAGAATGCTGTAGATGTATATATTGTGCATAGACTAATTTAGGCATCTAATTTATCAATTGTTGGAACAAATCAACCAAAGATATAGAGTATGAATTAACAGGAAATGCAGCATAACTTCCATTATGGTTTGTTGCCCTGATAGATTTCCATACTTAATTTCCTGGGTTGGTATTTTAGGGACTGTCTTAGGAAGTTTGAATCCCCTTCTTTTTTTTCCTAAAACACTCACAAATAAAAACGAGGGTTCTAAACCTTCCAGAAGAAATTAAAATATAGCCTCCTGGTTTTAGGTTAGGGTTTATATATATATTGTTTTCTTTTTATATTGGGCAGACATACAGATGAGGACTATAGGATTTTGGTGGTCCTCTATTTGTTGTTGCCAGCAATGCGCCTCAAGTAATTGCCGGAACATACACTTTTCTAACTAGAACGGTTGGAAATGCAGGTGTCTTAGGGTCACAAACCTTACCTGTGCCTTCAAGCTTGGGTTTGTTGCTTGGTTCTGCCAAATGATCTTCACAGTTTCTGGTCCTGTTGGTTACAACGAGAAGCCATTTCCATGTGGCTAACCCATAATGTCTACTTTGGTAATGTTACCATGTTCTGGGAGAGAGCCCAAGAGAGAGAACTGATGAACAGCCTCCCCAAAAGCTCTGATGATCAGAATTCCCACTTTTCTCAAATGAGGCTGGTTCCCGCAGAAGAAAAGAGAAGTTTGTATTAAACCCACTGCCAGTTTAGTGTCGGCCTTCTCTCTGGCCCCTGACCCCTTTTCAGTAAAGACAGCTTACACGCTGGCCTGTGGGGCAGATTTACATATTCATACCTAATAGGTCATTTCTCCCTAATAGGTCATGTTTTTCAACTTTCTTCAAAAAGCAAGTCAGAATTTAGAATGTTACATTTTACGAATTAGTCATACTCCATAATTTTAAATACAAATAAATAAGAAAACCAGTATAAGATTATATTATCAAGTCAGAAAACCCTATGGTAGATTCCCTAGTGTGGCCCATTCAGCACTAAAAAAGCAGAGCCAGTCTATCTATACAGAATGCAGACATATTCCATACATGAGTTTGTGATAAGGTAAGACACAAAACAGTTGCCTAGAGGTCAGCATGCCCGGGTTTTAGTCTAGGTCTGGCCTTGGCGTCACACAGTGGGTGAATTACTTGCCCACCCCTCCGGCTCTCATATTCTGTCTGGCAGCAGACAGGTTGGCACCTGGTTCCCCTGAGCCTGGGAAAGTGAGGCACAGGTGGGAAACCTCAGAGGGTGCTGTGAAGACTTCTCTTAGAAACGAGATGTCTTAAATACCAAGGGATTGTGTTTTACGAATTGTTTGAAAGGAAAGGTAGTCCCAGTTCTTTCATGAAAACAATCTCAGGTAGATTTATAACCAATCTTAGGACTCTAGCATGGACTGAATGACGTTTATAAACCTAAATTGATCTCAGGAGGAACTCCAGGTTGCACAAAGAGGGTTTTCAACCTTACTGATGGTACCTTCAACCGGGAGATTTGTGCACTTCCTTCTGTCTGAAGACCAGTAGGGCTGTTTGCATCTGAGGAGTAATTAATGTGTCACCAGATCCACTTCTCCCCAGAGTGACTGTCTTTGCTGTGCTGGTTTGCTCATGCTCCTTGCTGTCTGGCATTCTGTGCATCTTGCGGTTTCTTCTTTCAACCACATCTCTTCGTGGCCAGTAAAGACCTCAGCAGTGGGGCTGAGGAGAGCCTGCTGAGGGTCCCATTCAGGGGCGGGTTGCAGGAGGGTGAGCAGCTTGACTGCTCTTTGGGTCTTGATCGGACCCATGAAACTGGAGAGGTGCAGCTCTTGGCAGCTTTCAGAGGAAAGGCAGACTTGGGGTTCAGGGTCTCCTTTAATGCTCTACATGGATTTTGTCCATCATGCTAAAAACAACTATTTGTCAAAATAAAATATAGTTAAGTATTGAGTAGCTGTAGAGGACAGGGGTTAGGAGCACAGATGTCGAGTCCAACTCCCTGCCTTGAAGTACCGCATCTACCACTTATTTGCTACATGGCCCCGGCAGGGTACTTACCTTTCTGTGACCTGTCTCCTCTGTCATCTGATTAGGTGATAATCATTGCCCTCTTCACGGAGTAGAAATGACAGTTATGAGTTAACACCTATAAAACGTTTAGGACAGTGCCTGACATAATAATTGCTATATAAGTTAACCAAATAGATAGTTTCTATTTGCTTATCAGATCATCAAAATTGATTTAGATCCGATATTAATTCTCTTTTATGAACTAAAATGTCATACAACTTGAGTTGTAAATGTTTAGGCTGTTGCTGCTGTAGATGTCATGAATTGTCACTCACCGAGAGTATAAAACGACATTTAAGACACATTTGCCATGTAAATAAAGTCTGGGCTAGTGGTGGCCGAGCTGAGCTAAACTTTACAAAGAAGCTGCCTAGGAATACTTCAGCAGTTGGCCTGCCTCATGTGTCCTCTGTATTCAAATAAAATCTTCTAGGCCCTTAACACCAACCGGGTGGAACCAGAGACGGTTCCAGGTGCCACAGGGCTCAGCTCCACTTTCCTGGAACACGGAGCAGCTGGTTTAAAGCCAGAGGTCAGGCTGCACCCTCCTAAAAAGCTTGCCAAGATAACAATAGAAATGAATGGATTTTATTTTGATGCCATCCATTAATAATAAAACATAAAACATAATTGGTCTTGGATTACTAGGCAAATTAAAAACTAAATTTTGTGGCTTGAATATTTCATAACTCCAGGAAGCGACATCTGGAAAGTAACTAGAATAACTTTTGATTATCTTGCTGTTTTTAGTTTATTTGGGCTGGAAGGCATGGGCAGGGAGAAAAGGGCTTTTCTATGTGTGCTCAGCCCAGCAGCACTGTTTGAGAGTAGATAAATAGGGAAGAATTAACAACAGAGAGTGGGAAGCAATGTCTCTCTACTTCTAGCTTGGGTTACTGTTGCTGATGTAAAAAAATTTTCCCGAAATTCAGCAACTGCTTTCGGCAGTCTCTGGAATGTGGCTCTGTGTTCAGAAGAGAATAATTTATGGAGAGTAAAGAGTTGCCCTATTTATTTTTAGAAAAACTGGTTGCAGTTAGGGAAAGACATTTTTATTCTCATTTTGCCCTGAATGTGATGTTCCGCTCTTCCCAGCACTGGGGAGCCCAGGCGCCCAGCTAGAGTACTGCATGGGGAGTGCTGAGTTGCATGGCTGCTGGGAACGCTCCAGCCTCTCCAGGGAGCAGCCGAAGCTGCACCATTCCACGCAACTCACGCAACTCCTCCCTCTGCAGAGTGCGGAGCAGGTGCCAACAGGGGCGTGACTGTGACCTTCACATGATAGTTACCGGCTGTCTGGACTGCTGCCCCAGCAGCTGCAGCTTCGCCAACAGATGTCAGAGATGAACAGGCGAAGTCAGATTTCGGAGTGGGAGCCTATGGGCTGTTTTTAATACAAGAAGACACCTTTTCTTATAAGACAGTCATAACTTACAACCTTGCCTTTTCATAGAACAGTGTTACATGTCCACAACTTTTAGTCTGAGTTCTCTTTCCTGGGGCATTTCTATCTCAAGCTGGGGGCATAAAGCACATCAGAGAGGCAACTCTACATGGGTGTGGAAAGCAACCAAAGGAAACCTGGAACATGGCAGGAGTATATTTGCTTGGTGGCCCTGGCATGAACACTAGTGATCATGTGGCACCTCCAGCCCCCCCTTGTTTAGGGTTGGAATTCTCCAAAGCTGTTGGCTTTGGGTACAAACACCCGTGGACTTCTCAAACAAGCTATAATGTCCCTCAAGCATTGAGTCCTTTTTGACTGGGACAACTTCTCTGGACCAGCCCTGAGCCAGATCACAGCGGCTGCTGGCCTCCAGGGAGCTCTGTGTCTTTTCATCTCCCAGCCATGGTCAGGATGCCGCGTGGACCACATGCAGTTAAGCACTAAATTGTGTGGTGCTCACAGAAATCAATAGCCCCTAAAGCCTCCTTGAGTAAGAGTTGTAAATATTGCACTGTGATTTCTGTCTTGCTCTGTTTCTTAGAGATATTGAAATTAAGGTTGGAATATGTTCATAGTAGAAACCTTGAAAAAAAGTGCAGCTGCTGGCACAAAAGGACTACTCTGTGTCCTTGTCCCCTTTAGCACAATGCCCAGCACATGGTAGGAGTGGGATGTTTATTGTCGCTGGTCCTTAGATTTCTGCGTCCAGGTAATTCTATGATTATTTTGAATTTCCCATTTCTTGACTTCTGGGTCTTCAAACAGTTTATCATGTGAGCCTCAGGAAACACCCTAAAAGTTATTGAAATCTCATTATCCATGGGATGCTTGGATTCTGCTGCAACAGTGATTGGTCTTGAAGTGAAAACACTGGACCTTATAATGCCGTTTTGAAGCTCACTATCTTGTGAACTGAGACATCGGCCACAGTGGGTGGCCACAGGTTTACTGAGCACTAATTGCTTTCTGAGGACACTGGGCATATGGTGACCTAACAAAGGGGACCCAGCTTTGTCACCCGAGTTTGTCCTTGGAGAGGGCATTTCAAGTGGGCTTCTACCGAGCAGCTAGCATTTATAGGGCTCTTACTCCGCGCCTACACCGACTCCTTCAAGCCTCACAGCAACCCTATGACGTACACATTATTGACTCCATGGTAGAGATGAGTCAACTAAGCCTCAGAAGTGATGTAACTTCTCCTCTCCACAGTAGAACGGAAAAGTTGCTGCCAGGGTTTAACTCAGGTGTATCTGATCCTGGAGTACAGCTACTAACTACCCCATGACTTGCTTGCATTTTGTAATGCTTAATTCTAAGCCCTTGTCATTTTCTCAACAGACTCAACAAAATGAAGCCAGGACACGTTTGGCTGCATCTCGCACTGCTTGGGGCCTCCCTGCTGGCCGCGCTGGGGCGGACAGACCCGGGAGCCGGCCGAGGCCTGGACGTGGGTGTGGAGGAGTCACAGGCAGAGGTATAGTCACAACAGCTGACTTCACATTTCAAACCGATTGCTTTCCAGTGTTACAGTTTCTGGTTTACCCCTTCACTTCTAGTTTACATCAGTTAGATTGCTGTGTGAGTTTAAATGCTCCCCCTCCTTGGAAGAAGCAGCATGTGTTGATATGGACAGGAGATTTACATCATGCTGTAAGTAATGGTCTAAATCTCTCCAATGCTGAAAACGTATCCCAGAACCCAGCTAGAGTTGCATGGCTCGTCTTCCTCAAAGACCGTCAAGAGAATGGCCTTTCTGTATATTTAATAAAACCCGTAAAACGCAGACTCATTGGTGGAGCCACACCCCTGCGAATTAATGAAGTCTTTTCATTATAAAATATGTTTTGAAAGCAATGAGCTCCTTTTCAGGTCTGCAGATAAAACGAAGCAGGCTGAGAAAGAACTGGCAAGTGGAGGTCCTGAGGGAGGCCGCGGTAATGAACAGATGAGAATGATTAATGGCATGTTAGGTGTATATAAATGCTTCCAAAGTGCTTGGAAAACTTGTTCTCAGATACCTCCCTGGAGAGTCTTGATGTACTGCTAATTGCTTCGTGAACTTGGTCTTAAATAATGAAGAGGATTCATAAACGGCACCTCCCCTGCCCAGGTAGTAGGCCTCGTGGGCAAGGGGGCCAAGGGGCACACAGTTTTTCTCGCAGAGAAGGTTTTGTATGTGCTGAGCTTTAAGAAATGGCTGTCCCCGTTCATTAAGGCCACCTGGGATGTTTATGCTGTGGTAAACACTGCGTTTTCTCTGGGAGCTTCGCAGAGCCTGTGAACTTCCACTGTCCTCCTCGATGCCCCCCGCCCCGGGCGGGCGTATTTCCCGTCCCGCGGAATGAGAGAAAAATTCCCTCAAAAAGTCGACATTACCAGAGTGAGTAACAGTACACAGTGTATGGCTGGATTAATGCATTATTTGATCAAAAGATACAATTTCCCTTTCATTATTACTTAATTGTAATGCAATCTCAAAGCTGCGAGCCTTCATCTTCAGGGAGCTCAGAAGGAATTTACTGCGCACTTTTCCTGCTGAAGTTTGTGCGGCTTCCTTTCGTGGCGAGCAGATGATTAAATAGAAACACTATCTCTCCCATCTAAATCCACGAAGGACGAACTTAATGCTCTTTTGAGAGAGTCTGGAGGCTGACTTGCTGGCAAGCACAGCATTTCCCACGTGGGTACGGCTTAATCATTATTCTCTCATCCATCCCCAGAGAAGTGATCACCCACACCCTGCAGTGTGCTGTGGAGTGTTCACTAGCAAAGCAAACGGGCGAGCACACAGGAATGCTGGCTAAGACTTCCTGCTTTGGGGGCTCACTGGCCCACTGTTTCAAATCACTTCTTTCAAGTAACACAGTCCAACCAATTAAGGTGGGATTTAGTAGGACGTAAATGGAAGGTAAATTAATATCAACCTAGTTACTTTATCTTAGCTGGCAACACCCTAGTACTTGTGAACCAACAAGAAAGAGCAAATGCTGCTCATTCTGAGGAAGTGAGGCTTTTTCTCTGAGCCGTGGTTTTATTCTCCCTCTTCCCCTATAGGATAGAGTCCAGGAGATGCCATTGTCTCTAGGCCCAGGATTTTTTTGTTTTTAATCCTCACCTGAGGATATGCTTTTCTTGAGAGAGAGAGAGAGAGGGAGAGGGAGACATGAGAAATATCAATCTGTTGCCTCCCATACGCACCCCAACCAGGGATTGAACCTGAAACCTAGGTATGTGCCCTGCCTGGGAACTGAACCCACAGCCTTCTGGTGCGCAGGATGACGCTCCAACCCGCTGAGCCACCCAGCCAGGTGCCAGGTCCAGGAAGTGAATTGCTTCCAGGAATGGAATTGACTGACGCTTCTGCGAACTCTCCCTGCTGGCACATCTGAGTCAACCTGATTCTCTTTGCTATAGATTGAGCTTTTGCAAAGGGTTGTAACTTTTACCTGTGAAGACTGCTTACAGCAATGATTAAATGGGATGATGATAACAGGAAGGGCCCAGGACATAGGACGGCCTCTGTAACTGTTCTGATAGAGACAGAACATTTGTAACTGACTAGTCTGCTGACCTTGATCACACTTTATGCGTGGCCCCTCCATGCCCTTCCTTGCCAGGGTCTTCTTGCTCGAGAAGCTGTCTGTCCCTTCTTTCCCCATGCCTGAATCATCCCTTCTTTCGAGGCTCAACTCTGGTGCTCACGTTTTATCCAGAACCTTCTTCGACCACTCCTGGTTACAGTTGATCTCTTTCTCTGAACTCCTAGTCTTTGCTACCTTTTTTTTCCTTACTGATATTTTTATTTTCCATAAAAATGAAGCCTATCTTATTTATCTTTCTCTTCCTCACAGAGTCTAATAATTTTAAGAGCAAAATAGAAGCTCAGTGTATTTCTGAGCCGATTGGTATTTTCTCAGCATTTGGTAGTAGTCATAAAGTCATGGGTGCTTCCCAAATTCCGACCCGACCACCGAGTGTCTCAGTGTGTGACAGAGGGCTCATTTTCAGTGGAGGCAGAATGGTCTCCCCAGCAAACCTGTAAGCACCTTGCTGGACAAACCAGACTTGTATCTTATCCACCCCCAGGACAGTCCTCATGTGTTATAGGTTCTGGGTAATTTTTCCTTTGAATTGTAGCTATTACTACAGCCATAACTCACTGCCCAAACCATGTGAAACTCCTCTGGCTGTTTCCTCAGACAGTCTTATTTTCTGGAAGAATCAAAACCAACAGAGTTTCTTGAGACTCACTACATAAATCTAAAGACTTTTTCAGGAACTAAATGGTAAAATGTTTCTCTGTGTGTTTTCTTCCCGATAGTAGTACTTTACAAAACACTCATTCACGTAAGATTTTTAAAGTACTTGGAAAGCATTAATAAGATTTGATTTGCTTTTAAAGTTATTATGTCAATTACTTGAGTGACCTAAGGGTAAATAAGAATTAAATGACCAATGTAGGTGTGCTCATACATTTTTAAAGCAATTATAGCAAATACGAATATTGTCAAATTATTGCTTTACAAACGAAGACTCCGGTTGAAGTAGCTTCGAGGAGTTTGCCACTTTACAAACATAGACAGGAAGTGATGCAGCTGGGTGGGGTTCCTTTTCAATAAGGGCTGAGTGGCAGACGTGGCCTAGAATACGAATGAAATTCTGAATTCAGAAAATACAGTTTTGAAGATACAACTTACTGAAATTCTGAAATAGTTATATTCTTTCTCTTTCCCCTATGCTCTGGCTAATATAGATAGAGTAGTAAAATCAATATTGGTAGAATTTTATATTGGGGGGGGGGTCTAGGTAAATAAAAAGTGATGTGGTGGCAGCTCCCGGGACCCGCCCCTTCTTGAGGGACAGGTATTTATAGGAGGGTCCCCACTGTGGGCCCTGGATGCTATGTTCCTTCCACTCCCTGGGGCCTGGGATTGGGTGGTGGCCACACACGGCCTTATACATCCTTCATGGTCTTACTGAACCTTCTCAGAATTGCTCTTCCTCAGAGTTCCTAGTCATGCACTAACCAACTCTGAACAGTAAGATTAGGTCCTGTAGAAACTGTTAGCTTACAGACCAGAGAGATGCTTTGAGGTAAGACGTTTCTGATATGTGCAAATTCTCATAGGAATCTTGGAGGGAAAAGTATGTCGGGTGGTATCAGTAACAAGGATGATCCCTGCTTCCTCATCAGCCAAGAAGCCCGGTCCTCCCTGGCTGACTGGCCCTTTCCCCTTTCCCCTGCAACTCTGCGCTCCCAGGCACGCCGGCCCTGTGAAGGCGGCTCCTAACCTTACGTGCTCTGGCTTCTTTCTGCACTGGTTGGACATTCAGGAGGACTTGGGCTGCTACGACTGGGCATTAATTTAAAAAATGCATATTTTTCCTTAGTAAGTGTCATTGTTCTTACATATATGACTGAATTTAAGGCAGTACCCCCCTGCCCTTTCTGCTAACATTCTCCCTCGCCCCCCACTCCTGGCCCTGCTTTTTGATTGACTGCTGGGGAAGAACCGCTGATTTCCCGTGGGCTTTAAGGTCTGCCCGTTGGCACCTCTGCTTACTCTCGCCCCTCACTTTGTGGGCTTGGAGAAAACAAGTTTCCTCCCCCTGTGGACAGACAGGCCCAGGCCGGATGCTGGGCACTTCCTAAGCCTCGCCTGCAGCACAGGCCTGCATACCTCTCTCCAGTGTGGTCCCCGGTCCCCCTTGCTAAATACTCACTGTCGCCAACTCCAGCATTTGACTGGCTTTCAAAGAAACGAGGCTCTGGGCAAAGTGTCTCAGCCAGAGGCGCCAGTGGTCCTTTTGCCAGCGTGGAGCTCTGGGGTTGCTGCCTACACCCTTTATGAGGACCCGGGACCCCTACTGCAAGTGGGGACGAGGGCAGCCTCTCCTCTGGCCTTGAGCACTCGGCCGTGGCTCTCCGCTGTCAGAGGGTGTGAGTTTTAATTTTTCAGGTGACATTCGGAAGGCTGACCTCGCATCTGCAGATGTGTGAATCCATAATTTTCAAGGTGAGAGAAGGTGGCAAATGCTCCAAGTTCGTGGGGGTGTTGGATGAGCAGATTCCCACTTCGAGTTGGTGTGGGCTGTGCCCCCTCAGTGCCTCTGGAGCTTCGTGAGCTTGTGAACAGCCAGGGCCCGCTGAAGTGCAGGTGCTGATGTGATGCGGCGGGTCCGCGGCCCTGGTATTCTGCCTTTCTCATGAGCTCCGGGCAGTGCTGCTACTTCCAGCCCCAGGGCACACTGGGCAGAAAAGTTCTAGAGGTGTCCTTCCCCACAGCCTGTGCACACACCCGAGAAGGAGACCCAGCTGGTGGGTAACCGTGGCCTTTGTTAGCTCTGCCGACATGACGCCGCCGACTCTGGGCAGGAAGAAGAGGGCAGTGCGCAGGCTGCAGTCATGCTGGGTCTGACATGATGTGGGACTGGCCGGGGGCAGAGACGGGTAGGAGAGGGCAAAGGTGAATT